GTAGCTCGAGGCAACCCTTGGAAGCTTCTCTGGAGCAGCTACTGGATGTAATATGAGTAACAGCTAACAAGGATGTTCAGTATCCATCCCGAGTGGATGCGTTGCAGCCATAGTGTTATCCATGTGGGATATGCAGGAGGCAAAACACAACCCACCTCACTCCTTAATGGACATGGGCCCTGCAGGGGATGTTCCTGGCATGAACAGATGGTCTCTGGTACCTGGAAACAAATTCCTTCTCATTCCAATATATGGAGCTCTGGGACAGCCTCACACTCCCTCACTACCTAACACCAGGTCTCATCTGCCCCTCATCTACCCCCCAGGCACCCTGTTTTCACACCTCCTCCAGTAGTGCAGGATGGGCACCCAAAAAGGACTAAACAAGGAGCTTAGTATCTGTGTGGTTCAAAGTAATGAATGAAAATTAATCGTTCTCTGTTTTTATCACTCAAGTCAATGACTGCAGAGCCCTGGGACCTCAGGAGTCAAACTGGACATGCAGCTCACTGAAATGTGACCACTAGTTCTCCCACTCTTGAAGGTGTTTAGCAGTGCACAGGCACTTGGACCATGAGCTGGTCTTACTCTCATGAACTCCTTTGCTTTTGTTTGGTCTGTATTGACAAACCAAAATAACCAGGAAAGAGTTTAAGCAAGTCTTAGGAAATGAAAAAAAAGAAATCAAGCCTTAAGGGATGGAGGACAAGATGCCTATGTGGGGAAACCAACCCATCACCCAGAGAAAAGTATTTATTTGAATGAAAACCTGAATACAGAGATCATAACAACTAGACGCTGCCACAATAGATGGACACAGTCACACCATTTTCCCTTTTTTTCCTGAGCAGATGAATTAGATGAATGTATACGATAGAGCTGAGAGGAAGTTAGTATTTCAGGAAACAGCCACAACATATATCCTGCTATAGAGCACATGTAGAAAATGTTCTCTTCTCTAAAAGGAAACTGTAGTTGTGTTCAAGGGTCATCTTTCCTTCTCCACGCCAAGTTTCAGACTATTTGGAGACAACTTGTATAAACAAAGGAACCTTTTTTTCTCTGTCAAAATCATTAGCTCTTGGCTGCTTCCTCTTGAAAAATCAGTTAAGGAGGAGGTTTTTTCTTTTTTAACGGCAATAGAGGATATATGCTCTGACTGCCTCCTGAAGTTTTAACTTCCTGTCAACTCTATCTTATCTTGATCTGGGACTTCCCATGAAAGGTCCATGGGGTCTCTATTTACTCTAAACAGAGTAGACTACAATCAGAAGGATGGGAATTTTAAGGAAACATGATCCTTCCTACTGTATTTCCCAGTCCCTAGAGAAAATTTAAAGAAGTAAACTAAGAAGCCCAACAAATGCTGCTAGCACATGCAAAGGAACTCTGCGTTCTCACAACATGCCTGCCGCCGAGAGCACGATGTACTGCAAGCAGTGGCTTCTCTGTTCTTCACGAGAATCTCTGCCAGCCAAAAAAACTCACTGATCCCTTCCCAATCCCATAGGGTCAATTAGCCAATGCCTTCCCCAGCTCCAGTCAGGGATGCAGACTGCCCCTCCTGTATGCAGTCCGGTTGGAAAAGCAGCATTTGAATCCACTTGGATTCGGCAGCACACCACCCTCATGACAGTACAGCAGAAGTTGACTGTTCTGCCAATTGCTCGGAGGTTTTGTGGACCAGATCACACAGCTCCGTGGAACTAAGCTGACCAAGACAGACGCAGAAGTGCCAAGCTGGACACAGTGACTCCAGGAACAGTGCTGGGGCAGTGGTTCACAACTGTCTCTTGGCCTGTCCCTTGCTCTGCACTTCATCAGTGTGGTTTGTCATGTCTTCTCTTTCAACCACAACTCATTTTCTGGGTGAGAATCTCCCCACTCTGTGTGCGTGTGGAGGCCTAAGTGCCAGCAAGGACCACAAGGTACCTGTGTCTGTGATGCTGTTAGCTGGAGGGTGTGTAAGTCATAGTGTAACTGCTAGGAAATACCCAGCCACACTAGCTGGCCATGAGGTTAAAATTGGCCCAGGAGCCAGGTGTGGTTACTGCAGAGGAATTGGTTGCTGCAGGGACCAGGGGAGCGAGGTCAGAGCTGTTTGTGGGTGTGTGGGTGTGTGCACATTTAGAGGTGACGCATCTAGGAAGAAGGAGGATCAAAGACAGGGTAGACTGAGTGTCAAAACCCTGCAACAGGGGACTGCCAAAGTGTGTGTATCTCTGCATACACTGTGAGGGGGGACTGCAGCAGTGGCTGGCGTGGGGCTGTGAGCCTTGGGGGCCAGCACCTGAGGACAAGGGATCCAGGGGCCCGCTACTATATAGCCAGCTCCAAGCACATAGGGGAAAGGCAGCAATCAGGGGTAGTCAGCATGGATTCGCCAAGGGGAAATCATGCTTTCCCAATCTGATAGGCTTCTCTGACGGGCTGAGCAGATGAGGGGAGAGCAGTGATGTTGTCTGCCTGATTTCAACAAGGCTTTTGACACCGTCTCCCATGACCTGCTCCTAGGCAAGCTTGGGGAGCATGAGTTTAGTGAGTGCATGGTGAAATGGACAGAGAACGGCAGAGCTCAGAGCACCATGTTCAACTCAGAGCCTAGTTGGAAGTGTGTGGAAAATCTCGCTGTCAAGAATTAAATGTCCAAAAAGGAGACAGAGGAGTCCTAAAACTTTATTCGAATAAAGAAAGAGTCCACCGGGCATAGCCTCAAATTGCTGGAGGACGCAGCCCCGCTTTTATCCTAATTTCTCGACCAAGGGACGCCCTCTCCTTTTCCCCGTTAGCCAAGGTGCTCAGAAGTTACAGCCTTCCCGGCCTGCCTATATCAAGCTCCCTGCCACCCTCCTTCTCACCTGAAGCCACCTGACTCCTTTGTCCCCCTTGCTGAAGAAAGTGGGGGAATTCCCTTATTTGTAAAGGCCCCCACCTCTTGGCAGATGCTCTTTTGTCCCCCTCACTCATGGCTTGCTCAGTCTCCCCCCGCCCTTTGTCCTGCTCTTCAGCCAGCCTGTGGAGGAATCCCCTTATTTCCTTAATATCCAAGGAGGAATAACCCCGTGCACTAGGCCAGGCTGGGGGTGACCTGCTGGAGAGCAGCTCTGCAGAGAAGGACCTGGGGGTCCTGGTGGACAACAAGTCAACCATGAGCCCGGAGTGTGTCCTTGTGGTCAAGAAGGCCAATGGGATCCTGAGGTCCGTTAGGAAGAGCGTTACCAGCAGGTCGAGGGAGGTGATCCTGCCCCTCTGCTCAGCCCTGATGAGGCCGCATCAGCAGTGCTGTGCCCAGTGTTGGGCTCCCCGGTACAAGAGGGACATGGAGCTACTGGAGAGAGTCCAGTGTAGGGCTACAAAGATGATCAGGGGCCTGGATAGGGGCCTATGAGGAGAGGCTGAGAGCTGGGCATTTAGTCTGGAGAAGACTGAGAGGGGATCTTATCGCAACGCACAGATACCTTAAAAGAGGGTGTCAAGAGCATGAGGCCAAGCTATTTTCAGTGGTAGCCCATGACAGGACAAGAGGCAATGGCCACAAACTGAAGCACAGGAAGGTCCATTTGAATATGAGGAAAAAAAGTGACTGGGAGGATGACAGAGCACCCAAACAGGTTGCTCAGAGAGGTTGTGGAGTCTTCTTCTCTGGAGATACCCTAAATCTACCTGGACATGATCTTGTGGAATGTGCTCTAGATGACTCTGTTTGGGCAGGGGGTCTGGACTAGATGATCTCCAGAGGTCACTGCCAACCTCAGCTGTCTGTGATTCCGTGAGTGTCTTAAGCCCAGCTCTCAAGAGCTCCACATGGGGTATATGTATATACTTCTCACTAACAGATCTTCATCCTGATCAGCCAGAGAGGGGTGCAGGATGCCACTGTTGGTGCTGTGTGTGGCTCTGTGTTGCTCTGTGTGGCCAGCCATGTTTATAAGGATATATGTGTTGTATACATGTTCTTTTATGTGTATTCCTGCTAGAAATGCATACTTGACCTCACTACTGGCTGGACCCAGGGACATGGAGCTGCTGCAGCCTTCTGCAGATCAGACTGCTGGATTCAGCCTCCTCCTAGCATTACACTGGCTAATAGTGACCTAATAGAGGAGACCAACCAGTGAATTCTTTTCACAGCCCACACTAAGTAGCACTTCAGTCAAAACTTGTCCCTGATAATACACAAAAGAGTCCAGAAATGAAACACAATATATTTGTTACAATTTTGAAAGCATCTGTAAGATGTGGACTATTTTATTACAACAGTTCCTTGATATCCTGAGGTTGCTCGTCAGGAATACTACCATCACTTTCTAGCAGTCAATCTAGGAATTAAAAGGATTTGCTTTCTCCTTGTTTCGATGGTTTGTAGGATTTGCAGGTAGTCCTCTGGCTGTTAGCTCTTTGGAATATCAGCATGGTGGCATATGAAAGGGACAGACTTGCTAGGTTTTGGTAGGTACAACTCAAAAGAACAGCATTAAGACAGATCTTCCAGCAGAAGAACCAACCTGTCTCCACATTAGAGTGCCTGTCAGTGTTGGGGCAAAGAAGATTACGGACCATTTGGAAGTGGACTAAAATAACCACTGCTTTCACCATTTCTTGGTCACAAATCACATAGGTCAGACAGTCACTATAACCCCTCCAGGATTACAGCAAGAGAGAGGCAGAATCTCCCTGCTCCAAATCTCTCTCTGCTTCAACCCCCTCGAGCACTTCAGGATTTTGTTGATTTTGTTTCTGAAAGTTCCTCTGGGAGACAGCAAAGCAAACATTGTCCCCTTTTCGCAGGGGCTCCAAGAAAAAAAGGCACCTACATAAACCACCAACCAGAGAGATCTACAAGCTGTAGGTCACCTCACCTGATCCGCAAAGGTGAATGACAACAGGACAGCACTGACCTAGCTGGCGTCATCAGTAGAGAAGAGGATGGTGACTTTAAAAACTCATTGAATGATCTGTTTCTTAAATCAGTGTGACTAGGTCCCTCCTACACAACTGGCAATGTGTTGAGGACATGGAGGGACTGCAGGGAAAGGCTCAGTCCTGTAGCACCAACTGCTAGTACCGGGTTGCCCAGATGGGGCAGGAAAGGACACAGGCTCCCCACCTTGGGCAAAGAAGTCCTTAGAAGGAAAGCCCAAGGAGGTATCAGAACAAATGAATAACAAAAAAAGACAATCATCAAATCAGATTAGCCATGCTCTTCTCATTTCTCTACTAACACATGTAAAATATCTACTAGAATATCCACCATTGCTGAAGAGGCACCAGAGTTGCAGTTAAGTACAACTACTTGAACTTGGATATCCAAGCTGAAGGAAACATTGAAGGAGTGTATTCCAGGGCTGCTTTTAAAACAGCAGAAGTATTGTATAAAACCTTTCCCTATACAGGAACATTAAAATGAGAAACATTAATATCTTCACTTTGCCTCAGTTACTCTTAATTTCATCATTGCCTATAGAAACCCCAACAGCTGCTCTACGTCAGGTCTAAAAGCAGCCAAAGGGAGCTCAGTTAAAGCAAATTGATTATGCAAGACTGCAGATTGCTCCTAGCTCAGGACATCTTGAGTGATGTTGTGCAAGAGAAAATATTTTTCTTTTAGAAGGGAACAGAGTTTTGCAAAAAAACAGCAAGAAAAAAACATGCTGTTTGCGTGGTTATTTTAGACCCTCCATATTTCCTGAGGGCAGAGATTCTAGAGCTGCTTGCTAGGAAGAACTCTTCTCCTTCTTGTATTTCTGGTAAGCATCTAGTATCTCCGTGATGACGCTTGGATCATCGAGCGTGCTGGTATCTCCCATGTCACTTGACTGTTCAGTAACCACTTTCCTGAGCAGCCTTCTCATGATCTTCCCCGATCGAGTTTTGGGCAGGCGTTTCACCACCTGCAAAAGAGGAAAGAAAGAGGAAAAGAACAGGATCCTCCTCGATGTTGGGGTCTAGGACACTTCACCCTTTTCAGCTTTACCTCTTCCTCCTGCTTGTGCTACACGGCAGCTGTGCAACCACTGGCTCTGCGCCCAGCCCTCTGCCTCTACCAGTCTGACATGGACCCACCAGCCTGGCTTCCCAGCCTTACCTTGGACTCAGGCCATCAATAAAGAGCTGCCAAGTCACCACTGTCTCTGATCTTGTCCCAGCTTGCCACTCTGCATCCTGGCTCCCTGCTGGTGAGGCCACTGCTCGCACCTACCTTATCATGCTCTGCTCACACCTCGCCCCTTGCAAAGCAGCTGGAAACCACGTGAAAATTTAGCTGAGCTATCCTAAGCCTGGTGCTCTCTCATGGCAACAGCTCCTTTAAGGCTCCTAGGAACTACACATTAGTTTATGTCCAAGGGATAGAATATCATGAGCACCCCTGGTGTAATAAAGTTTATTCTCATTTAAGTAGATTTCTTTCCCCTTCTTTACTCATTGCTGTGTATCTCCAGGCTGGGTGTTGCAGGATGCATAGCTCTTTGGAGAATCAAGTCATAAATAAGCTGTTAACTATTGAACTGGAGGCTTAGTTAAGGTGATCTACAAACATACCCTGTGTGTAGGAGGAATATAAAACACAGAATATTGCAAGCCAGCTACAGAGTCCCCTACTCTAGTTTGCTGATGTCTTTCTCTGCCCGATCACATCTGCCACCCTACACGGCTTCCCTCATAGCCAGGTGAGCATTAAATGCCTTTGATAAGCTCCTTGCAAAGGGCTTAGCAGCAGGTCCAAAGCTGTTAGCACAGATTTGAGCCTTGCACTCCAAGGTAGGGTACAGAGACACTAGCAGGTCTCACATCTTGCTGTACATCCAGGCCAACC